TGCCGTTGTAGCAGCGCGGAAGCCGCTGCTGCCGGTTGTGCCCCTGGGCGAGCGTCCCGCGGCGTTTGGCCTCCGCACGGGCCTCTCGGTGCCTCGGGGTCCTACAGCCGCCCCCTCCTCGCCCCTGCCGGAGCTGCATCTCTGCCGGAGCCTCCCTGAAACGTCCCGGCGATTCCTCGGTGGTGCGACCTGCAAGGATTTGCTTCTAACGGTACGTCTGGCAGGGCTGACCCGGAGGGAGGGTGGAAAAAGTCAGAATAACCCTGTTTAGAGAGGGGCTGGCTGCCCCTCTGCGGGGGTAGGTTGGCGTTGCTGAAAGGCCTCTAGAGCCGCCGGCTGGAGGAGGTGGGTGACGAGAAGGCTCCCAACTAACAGGATTTTCTCGTGCTCTAATGTAAACTTAAAAGTTTCGGTGACTCCTGCTTTAAAGAAGGAATCTGTTTCTCTAGAGCAAGGGCTGTCTATCTGTTGGCAAAGGGGGGAAGACTGGTAGGAAACGTGGTCGTGGGGTGAATTTCGAGTCAGGAGTGAATTACCAGCAAATCAACTTGGAAACAGACTTTGCCAAAACAAGTGCAGCCTTATTTAAGTGTGTGTTGAGAATGACAGGGCCATTACGGGCATTTTCTAATAAAGCCTTCGGTGTCTGTGTGCTGTGTAGGGGCATGTGTTGGAGCATTGATATAGTCAAATTGCGTGTCCGCTATGTGGCTCTTTTACCTGGGTGAAAAAACTAACTTTACAGAATGAGCTACGTGACCAGCAATTACAGGACAAGAACACATGTTTTCATGCACGTGCCAAAAAAAAATAAATAAAATTCTTTAGCATATCAGTTCTGATGAATGAAAAAAGGCATTTTGCTCTTTCCCAGAAGTGAGCCAGGAAGCTCCAGTTCGTAATTGTCTCTGGTGTTAATGTTACAGACTCAATAAATAAATGGATTTCCTAGCCTATACATTTGTCTGTGTTAATTTCTGTATATTCCATTCTCAGCTAGGTAATTTTCTCTTTCTTCCATGTGCCTAATTGACTGTATTATGTCCTCCGCCACCAAGATAAATCTTTGCTCTGCTTTTTTGTTACTACATTTTCTTATTGATAACACCAGTGTTGCATCTGGACTAGTTCTTAACCTATACTTACCGTGAAGTTTGCTGCCCTATTTTCAGACTCGAAGGAGGGCTTTGGTGTGCTAAAGCTTTTGTGTTTGGTATTACACCTGTAGCAGTTAGTCTAATACCCATTAACATTGTTTCTTTCACATAATTTCATGCTAATTGCTTCTGTACTTACAGCCTAAAGGAACTGGAGTCAAAGTTCCATTATTACCTGTGTTTCATGCCAGTGTTCAATTTCAGTCACTGGTGACTTATAACAATAGTGAACAGTTCATAGGTGCTAGATATGGCTATTTCATAAACCGCTGGGTCTTGAAAAGTGTGCTCACAATCATCCAGGCATGTCACGAAATGGAGCACATGAAAGCTGTCATCTTTGGCATCCTTTGTGAATGAAGGAGGAACAAAAAAGAAGGCTGTTGGCTCTAAACAGCTCTTCTATGAGTAACTGAGAGAGGCGCTCATTTAGAAATCTTGATAAATTTTTGTATAGAAATGCCAGGTTTAAAGTACCATTTAATTTTACTTTTTTGTTTATATGATTTTGCATTTTTAATCTAAAATGGAAGTTACATTTTCTTCGTAGTGGCACTAAATTACATTAAATATTTAGATAATGAATTATGTGAACTATTTATGTGGCTAACATAGCCTGTCTCATGGGAAATACCAAAGTTGTTAAGAGTGCTTTCCACTACTTTGCAAATTTACAGGCAATTTAGTAAATTCATCATGACTCAGTCATGATTCGTAAAGCTATGAAGTTTCTTTAAAGAAAAGGATATTCTGGATTGTATTGACTTGGGAAGAAGGATGCAGCAAACTTGAATTTCCGAAAAGCTTTTGAGAAGGTTCTTTACCCAAGCCTTTCTTAAAAGTGCGTCTCTTTCAGAAACAAAGAAAACATCATAAAATAGCTAACTAAGTGCTTATAAGAAAGATTAGAAAATACTACCTTAGGCTGAGTGTGCAAAAGATTTTCTGCTGTTTAGCGCTGCTCAGTGATCTGAAAGAATGGGTTAACCAGCAAGGGACTCGATTTGCTCATTATATGCACATGTTAAGAGCAGTCCAGGTTCTGGGAGAGCATCATCGGCCTGAGTAATAAAGCGTGAGTTAAGGAACAGTGTGAGTAAAAGCGAAGTAGTACACATCATGGACTCTAAAGCAGCAGTTACTGCTCAGAGAAGAGATGTTATGAATGCTTCTGGTTGAAGCTTTAGAGCAATCAGAAAGGCAAATGGTAAGTTAGGAATGATGAATAGTGAGGGTCACAACAAAGACTCTTTGTGGCTGCTCAGTGTGATGTAAATCTTGGAAAAAGCATGGAAGAGGGACAAGCTGTACAAGCTGTTAGAAAATTTTGAAAAAATACATTTGCTAAAGTTACCGTTGTGAATGACTGAAAGTATGAATGACTATTTGCTGTGTCTTACAAAAAAAAAAAAAAAAGAAGAGAGAGAGGACACGCACACCCTCATGAATTTGACGTACTTTTCCAGACATACAGTTAAAATCAGGAATTCATTGCCATGAGCCGTTTTGATCTAAAAGTGCAAAAGATTCAAGAAAACAATTAGGCATATCTAAGATAGGTTTATAGAAAGAGAAGATACATAGGAGTAAGATTTCTCTTGTCGTTTTTATACTCTTGCTGTATCAGCTTTCAGAAACAGAGAGTATTGGGTCACGCTGATCTTGGCTTCTCAACAGTTACTGAAGGAAAACTTTATTCCCTTCTAAGCAGTGTTACAATTTTGGTCTTCATGTTTCTTCTTTAAAACTTTCTCAGTGTGATTAGTAGACAAATCCTTTCTTTTTCCAAAACACAAGCTGTTAAACCAAGTCTGATGAATGAGTTTAGACTAATTTCATCTTTTTAACTGATCCGGTTCTTCTTAAGGAGGTAGGCTTAAGAGTGGGCAGCTTCTACAGTAACAGAAGGTGCATTCCTGAGACTAAAGGTAGAGAGAGCAACATAATCACTGTTTTCCTGAATTCACACATTAGTGCAGAAATACCAAGGCCTCATTTCTTTTAGCTTTAATCTTTGGCTTCCAAATGAGAACAAAGACCGTTTATTACACATTAGTACCCTGATTTCCACTCAGCACATTGACAGTTACCATTGAGCCAAAGGAAGTGTGCCTCCTACTGCTTCAACCATCCCAGTTCCATATGTGAGCGATAATTCTCCATGCCATCACTTAGTTAATGTTTCAGCATCCTGAACCTCTTCAAACAACTAACTTGGCAGTACCTGGAACAGATGCTGTGCTAAGACTGGTAATTTCCTCTCATCTGTGGAGCAGTACCTGGCAACCTCAGTCCTGTTGCTGGACTTGTTCTTAATGTTTTGGGACACAATGAGATGAAATCTTACTTTCCAGCCTCAGACAGATGGGAAACTTGCATGCTTTCACATTTTATTATTCATAAACAATTTTATTTTCAAATACCTGCATATATTTATTTAATATCTTCTTAAAATCTGGGGGATTATGAAACAACATGGTTGAAATTATATTTTACCTCCTTTACATGAGATGCAAACAATACTTCTTCTGGATTCAGATACAGCAGTGATGATCCAGCTGCTTTCAGATCAGGTTAGTAATAAAAATATAACTAATCAGTCAAAAGAAAAAAAAACCCAACAAACAAACCACCAACCTCTGATCCTTGACCTATGTTTTCAAGAACATGATACAGGTAGGACGACAGTACAGTGATGTTTTCTTTCCTGTTTTCTGCCATAGAAAAAAGATGTTAGAAGTTAGCCTGTCTTTAAAATTTTATGCAATTTTCTAAATGGTTGGCATAACTTAAGTACTGCCTTATAAACTTTGAAAATAAGGTTTATATATGAAAGAAAAAAATATGTGGGGATTTTGAGAATGATCTGTCAGTCTGCACTGTGGAAGGTTCCATGATGACCATGATTTTTAAAAAAAATCAGAATCTGCTTCTTAATCTTCCTGCAGAATGATGTTTTCAGAGTTCAGTTCTTACATGCTGGAGAGAAAAACTAATGCTCACACTGTAAGATATTAAGAAAGAGAAAACTAATTGCCAAGGCAAATGTTTATCCTTAAAGAAATATGCTTAAAACTTTTTAGTTGCTCTATGATTGTCTTTTGGTTTACTTAAATTTGAGGACGGGCTCATGTACTGTATTTCACACAAAAATGGTTTTTCCATTACTTTTTTTTCTGTGTTCTTCCTTCTTTAAAGGACAAGGGCTGTAACAGACAATCTTTTGCAGGTGTCCTATTTTTCTTGACTGTGACAAAAGCTGCTTTGGAGGTGTGTTTACAATGACTGCAACTGCAGAGCGAAGGTTCGTTAATCTCAGGAAGCGCCTGGATCAGCTGGGCTATCGGCAGCCGTTGGGAGTGGAGAGTTTACCTTTGGTTGAAAAACTTTTCAGGTATTCAAAAGGAGATTATTTTAAAAACGTAATATACGAGATTTTTTTTTGTTTTGTCATATAAGGGAGAATGCTTAGTATGAAGATTATTTTCAAGCAATGTTATTTCAGAGCTAACATTCAGTTCCTGTGTATGTTGAAGCCAGGTGGGTTTGCTTAAGTGATAAGAACATCTTAAGAGTTCATTTAATTCAGTAGAATTGTTTCCAAGGATCTATGGTCTAGGAAAATTCAACTTTTCTGACTTCATAAGGGAGCCAAGGACAGTCACTACTGATATGTGCTTAAAGAACACGCTCTTATACCATGTAGGAAATAATCCCCGTTGTCTGTATGGTGACTTAAAACATTCACAACTCAATCTGCTCCAAATGAGATCATAAAAACTAAATTTGCTGTTTCTACAGTTTTTACAGGACACATAGCAGAAGAAAAACAAACTTTCAGGCAACCTTCTTGCTCTATCTGTCGTTTCAGACATTTTCCCCAGGGGCCTGAATGATGGAGTTTGTCCATCTCACAGCGTTTAACTGTTGAGGCTATGGTGTAGTGGTTAGGTATGCTGGGATGAAGGTTGGACTAGATGATCTTCAGAGGTCCCTTCCAACCCCTAACATTCTGTGATTCTGTGATCTGTCATTTCATGGCTTTGATGCGATTACGGATGTAGTAATTTCCCTAGTAATTGTTACATTTGGCTGAACATGCAAATGTGAAGGTATTCTGGTTCTGTTGCTCTCTAGCATCTAATACAGATAGAAGAACCATAGGTAGCCAAATGTGGACTAATCTGCTTTAAATCTCATTCCGATGTCTAACAGACAGGTTTATTCTCTCAGTCTCTGACTTCAATACTAGTTTCACAAAAATATTTGTAGCTACTTACTACTAATCTCTCTTATGGATCTTCTGATCTCCATATAAATATTAGTAACCTTCTGGCTTTTTTAATTCTTCAAGTTTCTTCTGTGGTAAGTAGTGCTACAACTTATGTAGTGCCTGGAGGAAAAAAATCATCTTGCCAGTTTTGAATATCTCACTTGATGTAGAAAAGAATTGAACTATCACCTATAAACTCCTGATACGTTTTCTAAATATCTTTATTTTTTTATATTTCTCCTGTCCTTTCCTGTTTAGTTTTGTTGTTGTTGTTTGTTGTTGCTTTGTTTTTTTAAGTACGTGATTCCTGTCTGTTAGTTTTTCTTATATGAATATTCTCTTGGCTGTTCTTGGAACTCATTTGTTCTATAGCCAACAGGGTCTCAGGGAGAGAGTTTTGTTTCTCAGATCATAATAAATATTTGCATATACAGTGTCAAGGCTGATAAGATTTCTAACATGACTGATGCTGCTTTATTCTAGTGACCTGGTTCATACAACTGAGAGCTTGCGCAGTGCAAAGTTATCAGCTGGAAAAACTGAAAAAGAATGCAGCAATTATGATGCTATTTTAGAACCTTATAAAACAGAGAATACTCGTCTTACCAGGGAAAATAATGAACTACATTTAGAAATATTGAAACTAAAAGAGCAGTCTGCTCGTCATGTTAAAGGTAATATAAAAATTTTGATACTTTTTTTTATCCTTCCATTCCAAAATGAAATTGTGGCCAAATCCTTGATGCTTAGATTCATTTATCTGTACTTATAGTGAGTGTAAATGATTATTGACTCTGGAGCCTTTAATGAATTAAGGCTCATGCACAGATATTCCTTTTGTACTTAAAAGGCTTCTGAGGTCCTACAAATCATTGTTTTAATCAAACATGAAGATGTTAGAACTTATTAACAGATTTTTCGTACCTTAAAGTGCTACTTTTTAATTTAAAATGAAATAATGCTGTTAAATTTGCCTTTATTCTGCAAAGGGGTTTTATTTGTGTAACATTAATATATATTTTTTGTGTCTATATATACACATATGTGTATGTGTTTGAAAATTTCATGTTATGGAAAAAGAGTATGGGATCCTCATTAAGCTTCTTTATGTTCTGCTAGAAAAAATAAGAAATATAATAGTGTTTTTTCCTCTCCCTTGAAGATTTGAAAGCCTCCTTAAGGAGGGTTGAACATGAAACATCTGACTTGAAATTTCTGAATAACCAATATGTACATAAAATTAAAATGCTGGAGAAAGAGAACAAAGCCAAAACTGAAAAAATTCAGCAGCTTCAGGAGAAGAATCTACAAGCAGTGGTGCAAACACCTGGTGAGTGTAAATTATTACAGATATTTTTCTTTTTCTCTTTTTTTTTTTTGACATTTTAGAACATAATCTTTTTTTTCCCTCTAGAAAGAGAGGTACTAAAGCAAAATAACTCTTCATTAGAATAACATGACCTTTTGGAAGCTTTGGCTCTGAATTCAGTCTTTTCCGTATGGAAGAATTTTTGTTAATGTATCACTTGTGTTAGGGACAAATTTGAATACAAACTTGGATTCAGTAGAAGACTACTAAGTTGAAATGTGACTGGAAAGTATTGTTTGCTATTTTTATTTTTTTTCAGTGTTGCATATAATTTAGCCAGAGGCAAGTTGTTGAACACTTGAGTCATTTTGACGGCAAATTGATGACGTATAAATGATTAATATGGATTTTTGTAACCAAGATCTGAAAGTAGCAAGATGCAAAACATGTTTACAAACAAATATTCCAAGCCTCTGGAAGCTTACAGTATTTAAAGGGGCTTTTGATAACTTGAAATGTTCTGGATGTTACTTTCAGGTTAATTTCTTTCCTCAAGGTCTCCCTTTTCTTCATTTTTTTTCCCTTTAATCTAAGAGAAATAGAAGTATTTTGTGAAAGTTTGAAATTGTCTTTTCTTTACAAGTCATTGAATTACCTGTGTATTTTTGGCATCTGAGGTAAATTAAGAGGTAGTTGGGTGAAATGAAGATTCTTCTCTATTTTTCCCCACCTTTGTGCATTTCACGTTATTTGTTTCAAAGATGCCATGTTACAATTTTGTTTGTCTTTCTGTGTGCTTGCCCCTGGGTCACCAGTCTTCTGGGATTTTTTGATGCTAGATCATCAAATACTGTACATACTTAATCATGTGATGAAGAGTAGTTGTTCTATCTGAAAATAATACTGTGTTTTGCTTTGATTTTAGTATAATATGACCACGCAAGCAAATAACCTGCTCTGCTTGATATGCTTATAATTGTCATTCACTGAAATGACAATAGAAAGGGGAAAAAAACCCCCACATTACTCAACAATGAACAGAGTAGTTCAATCATAAAATAGTTTTTAAATATGGAAACAAAATGTCTTTTGTGATGTAGTAATTTAGCTTTTTTAGAAGGTATGTCACTAGCAGATTCAACAGATTTGAAGCGTAGAATATTTAGGGTCTTAAACACTGGGGAAAATTGCATATAGTGAACTTCATGTGTTTCCTCATTATAAACTGAACTTTCACAGAGCTAATGCTAATTCACAAGAATGGTGTTGTCTAGAATGTACAAATGTTATCAACTTACTACAGTAAGATTAAAATGGTGAAATGTGCCCATTCAGAAGCAGTGGAATAAATAGAAAATTTCACTTTGTCTTAAAGAAGATTCCCATGCTTTAACTCCCAAGTAATAGGCCTTTGGATTTGGGCTTCTAGGTGGCAGAAAAAGAAGCATTCCCTTCAGGCGTCAACGCATGCAGATAGACCAGCCTGTCCCCCCATCAGGTGTTAGTGCCTACCCAGTTCCTCAACCAGAGGACCCTTATATCGCAGACCTTCTTCAGGTGGCTGATAATCGGTAATCTAAACACCTTCTGAATTTTGAAGTATAGGTGTTAAATACATGCAGTGATTTTTTCCAACCCCTGCCTTCCTTCTGCCTTTCAAATTTGCCTCAAGCAAAATGGTATTTTGTGATGTGTTAAGAGCGCTATAGTTCTTAAGTAGGATTTTGCTTAGTGATTAACAGTGCGCCCTGTGACAAAGTGGCAATGGATATTTAATAAGATGCTTATTTCCTTAAAGGATTAAGATTTCTAGACTAGTTTTACTGTTATACCTAATTTTAGATTGGATGCTCTAGAAAAAAGATAGGTGTGATGTTTTTCATAGGCGTAAACTGATATTGGAAGACTAAAGTATTCTTGATTTTTTGGTAATGTTTTTGGCTTACAAATCTGTATTATGAAAGGTAGAAGGCAATTTTTTAGACTTACTTAGAATATATCTGTAGAGGATTTACATGGCAAGGTGTTGGCAGTGGGTGGACTGCAAGAGTGGCTTCTCTGAGAAGAGACCAGCAAGTGCCCTGTGCTGCACACAGTTCCACTGGCTTCAAAACAGACCTTGCCGTGGGTCTCGGCTGAGCTGATGAGTGAAGCTGGTGACTCCTCTGTGAAAAAACATTTAAGAAAGGGTAAAAAAGCCAATGCAGCAGTGAGGAGGGAGAAGTAAGAAAATATAAGAGAAACAGCTCTACAAACACCAAGGTTGGTGAAGAAGGAGGAAGTGCTTCGGGCACCAGAGCAGAGATTCCCCTGCAGCCTGTGGAGAAGACTATGGTGATGCAGGTTGTCCATGCAGCCTGTGGAGAGCACCACAACAGAGCAGATCTCCACACTGCAGCCCACCCAGGACCCCACGCTGGAACGAGTGAATATGCCCTGAAGAAAGGTGCAGCCCATGGCCAGGTTCCTGGCAGCTCGTAGAGAGGAGCCCATGCGGGAGCAGGTTTCCTGGCAGGAGCTGTGTTTTGTGAGGGACCTGCACTGGAGCAGTCACTTCCTGAAGGACTGTACTGTGTGGAGATGACCTGTGCTGAGGCTATTCTTAAAGGCCTGTAATCCCATGGGAGGGACCCCATGCTGGAACAGGGGAACAGTGTGAGGAGAAAGAACCAGCAAAACCAAAGTGATAAGAACTGACAGCAGCTCCTGTTGCCCATCCCTCCTGTACCACCTGGGGTAGGGGGCAGGTGGTGTAAGGGATAGAAGTGAAGCAAAGTTAGTTGAGCTGGAAAAAAGCATAGGAGGAAGGTAATTTTAGTTTTATCTTTGTTTCTCACCATCCTGCTCTATTTTTAATTGACAATAGCTTAAATTAATCTTTCCCAAGCCAAATCTGTCTTGCTCTTGGCAGCGTTTGGTAAATGATCTCTCATCTTTATCTTGACTCATGAGCTTTTTCATCTTATTTTCTCCCTCAGCCTGTTGAGGAGGGGGAGTGAGAAAACAGCTGGGGTGGGGGTCTGACAGCCAGCTGAAGTCAACTCACTACAGTATCGCAGACAATGACTTCTGCATTGGTATTTTGTAGAAACAAAACTGTTTTTGTTGTGAAATATTGACGTTTGGGAGCAAAGAGAAAATACTAATATTGAATTGTTGTGTACATATTCTTCCACAATCCATACAAAGAGTATATTGCTGCATTTCAGAATTCATGAACTTCAGTCAGAAGTAACAGAGCTACAGGAAAAACTGGAGATATCTGAACGTGGAATGAAAAATTATAGTAAACAGGTATGTTTACAGATTTTTTTAATTATTATTTTTTGGCTGTAGGCTCTTGCAGTGGACTTAATTTATAATTTGTGTTTTAACGTTGTGGGGGAAGCATTGTAGGTCTTCTGAAATACAGTTATTCTAACTTGCCTACAATAGAGCTGTTTCTTTACTCTGCTTTTGCAGACAACAGCAATGATAAAATACTTGCCTGCTGCTTTTACAAATATGTTTTGTGTATTAAGATTACATTAAAAAAGCTAAATGTGATTATTATAAGTAGAATTTGTGTATGTCTAGGATTTTTTAGTGCAGAAACTTTAACTGGTCCAAAGCGGTAGTTTGATCTACAGATAACTTAGGATAACTTTTTTCACTTTTTGGACTAGTTATGCTTTTTTTTTTATTTTTGAAAGTAAGTTCATGAACAGCAGATGTTACAATATTGTACTTAAGAGTAGATTGATAAAATAAGTATAATCTGTTAATCTGTGAGGCAATTGCATCAGTTGTTCATACCCTGTTATATCTTTCAATATCTGGGGATTAGTGGACACCATCCTTTTTTTTATTTTTTCCTATCTCCCCCCCCATGTCTTGTTTTTCCTCTTCCAGTGTCCTCTGGTTTTCAGTAACTTAAATTGTCACTTTATAATTGATTTAAGAGTTTTTTCCCTAAATTTAAAACACTAGTCTCAGATGGTTAATTTGCAACATTCTTTAACTTTAAATGAAAATTATTGGTTCCTCTTTGAGACAATAATCTAATGGGAATTGTTTCATTCTTTTTCCCACAAATTTTATTTGATTCATTTATTTTTCTTTCAAAGAAATTACTTTTTTCAAAAAAATCTTGAATTCAAAAGAAAAAGCATGTTAAAGATAAAAACTACATTATTACATGCATATCTTTTTACTGAATGTTGCATGCATGTTTATTTGAACAAACATTCTATTAAATGGTATAGAAGATAGCAAAGAATTTTATTTTATTTTATTTTTAACCTCAAAGGTTGAGTTAAGAGACAAAGAAATAGAGCGCCTAGTGTTAGCGTTGGATGGTGGGCGTTCTCATGAAGTTATCTCTCTGGAATCAAGAAGTAAAAGTAATGAGAAGCTTATCGCCCGTTTGAATTTGCAGGTAATCAAAACTAGAAGTAGTACCAATCTAAAGAAAACCCACTAAACTTTTATCTCTGTTAAAAAAGCACTATTAGATATAAAATTTAATCAATTTGACTGACTTTGCTTTTTAGGTGGCAATGTTTCTTCTCTACTGAAATTTCTTTTATTGTTTTAGAAGTCTATTAGAATGGTTTTGGTAAAGAATTCTATGAACTCATCTGTACACATTTATGTTATTTTGAGTGTAGTAGAAAAAATTACGTATGATACACTATTTTCACCAACTTAGAAAATACTTATTTTATTTTAATTTCTTTTAAAAAATATTTTATTTTCATACTTACCATTTATGTTTTAGGGACTAACAATAGTATGAGCTGTTATGATCAGATAGTGAGGAATCTTCTTTTTTGAATTCCCCACCTTTACTCCAACATAGACTTGCAAGGAAAGGATAAGCTTAGGATAAAGATGTTTGTGTTTACTGACCTCATAATGAAGACTTTAAAAATAGTACAAGGCAGGCTGGAGTACAGGTCAAATAAAGCCCATCTCTGGCTTTGTACCATCACTTCTGTTTTTCCAACTGAGTTAGATGTTTTGTATACTGATAGTGCATGATGTACAGTGGTATGAGAGCCTTGTGGCAGAATTTATTAGCTTGGGTTCAGTGCTGCAGAAATACAGAACGAGCTACGGATTGGAACCGTTACAGCTGTATTCAGTGATCCTGAATTCGTAAGTCATGCAGAACACGGATTGATTGTACAGAGAGTGAGCCCAGAGCTGCATAAAACTGATTCGGTGCCATCAAGACTATTTGCTCAAGCTCAATTCCAATATACCACTTTTATTCTCTGACAATAAATGGGTGGATGCTATATAGCAGTATTTGTGATAATGAGAGGGCTCAGACTCTTCTATGTCTACTGTAATACTTCTTTTCTGGAGTTTTCAGGAAAGTTATGTGGAGATGGAAGTGGAGCATCTCTGTTAACTTGAATCTTTCAAAATACCCCAGGCTCTCATTCTCCTGGGTAGTGTAACTTATGTTGTATATTTTTATATTCCTGCCCTACATCCGTGTCTCTCTTCCCTTTACTCTTAGGGAAAGGTATAGTAGGAAAACCAATGCAGAGTGGAATTTTTGAGGATAAGTTTAAAGTGCTGAGATATATTTCGTGCAAGACAATTACTCTGATCTGTAAAGCTTCACTTTCCTGAAGGAATAGCAGTGAAATGAAGCCTAAGAAATATACTACAAAGGTGGAGAGAAGAGTGTGCCCTCATATCTTGTGAAATTTAGGGAATCTATATACACTGGGTCTGCTGGACTGATGCCCAAGACAGGTTGCTATTCAGATGTCTGATTTTCAGTACTTTATCTTTAGAATAAATCTCAGGGTTTGAAGACTGCATAAAGAGCAACTAGTGGTAAGTTCTTTCACCATGGATCTTTGTAAAATCATTTTCTTTTTTCATGTTGATAAGCATTAAGTTCTAACAATAGAAGATAATGCCATTTTTAAAAGGAAGTCCCTTTTTTACTGTGGATACAGAGATACTATATTTCAGAAAATTAGGACTAGCTTTTGCGACCTAATTTAACAATATGTATTAATGTTTTAATGAAAAATATCTTTCAGGTTGAATATCTTCAGAAAACAAATAAAGAACTTGAAAATCGTATTCAAGACCTCTTGGACACAAAACAAAATGTGGCTAGTGAGGTAGTGGATTTAAGCAATAAAAATGAAGAACTGTGTCAAGAACTGAATGAAATAGACCACTTGGCACAGCAGTTGGAAAGGCACAAGGAAATTGTGCTCGAAACAGCAGATAAGGAAATAGGAGAAGCAAAGGTAATTGCTGACTTATAGAACCATAGAATCATTTAAGGTTGGCAAAGACCTCTAAGGTCATCAAGCCCAACCATCAACCCAACACCACTAAACCATGTCCCCAAGTGACACGTTTGCATGTCTTCTGAATGCCTCCAGGGATGGTGACTCTACCACTTCCCTGGGTGGCCTCTTCCAGTGATTCACCACTCAGTAAAGGTATTTTTCCTAATATCCAACCAAAACCTGTGGCACAGCTTGAGCTCATTGTCTTGTCACTAGTAACTTGGGAGAAGAAACTAACACCCAGGTAGTTGTAGAGAGCAATAAGGTCTCCCCTCAGCCATCTCCAGACTAAAGAATCCCAGTTCTCTTAGATGCTCCTCATAAGACATATTCTTCAGATCCCTCGCCGGATTTGTTGCTCTTCTGGACACTCTCCATGATCTCAATGTCTTTCTTATACTACGGCACCCAAAACTGAACACAGTACTTGAGGTGTGGCCTCACCAGTGCTGAGTACAGGGGCACAGTCACTTCCCTACTCCTGCTGGCCTCACCGTTTCTGATACAGGCCAGGATGCTGTTGGCCTTCTTGGCTGCCTGGGCACTCTGCTGGCTCATGTTCAGCCGGCTGCACACCAGCACCCCCAGGTCCATTTCTGGCAGGCAGCTTTCCAGCCACCCTTTCCCAAGCCTGTAGCACTGCCTAGGTTGTTGTGACCTAAGTGCAGGACCTGGCACTTTGTCATCTAGAACCTCATACAGCTGGCCTCAGCTCATTTATCCAGCCTGTACAGATCCCTCTGTAGAGCCTCCCTACCCTTGAGTAGATCACAAAAAGTGCAATATGCAAACTTACTGAGGGAGCACTCAATCCCCTCATCCAGATCGTCAATAAAGATATCAAACGAGACTGAGCCCTGGGGGACACCACCTGTGACCAGCTGCCAACTCGCTTTAACTCCATTCACCACCACTCTCTGGGCTTGGCCACCCAGCCAGTTTTTAACCCAGTGAAGATCACACCTCTCTTAAGCCGTGAGTCGCCAGCTTCTCCAGCAGAATGCTGTGGAAGACTGTGTCAAAGGTTTCACTGAAGTCCCGGTAGACAACATGCACAGCCTTTCCCTCATCCTCTAGGTGGGTCACGGGGTCACAGAATGAGATCATGTTGGTCAAGCAGGATCTGTGTTTCATGACTCTGTGCTGGCTGGGCCTGATCCCCTGGTTGTCCTGCTTATGTGGTGTGAGTGCACCAAGGTGAACTCCATAATCCTCCCCAGTACCAAGGTCAGGCTGACAGGCCTGTAGTTCCCTGGATCATCCTTCTGATCCTTCTTGTAGATGAGCATCACACTGGCAAGCCTCCAGTCATCTGGGACCTCTCCTGCTAACCAGGACTGCTGGCTAGTGATGGAGATAAATGACAAATGATGGAAAGTGGCTTGGCAAGTTCCTCCACCTTGGTACTCTCAGGTGAATCCCATCTGGCCCCATAGACTTATGAGTGTCCACGTGGTGTGGCATGTCATTAACTGCTTACTCCTGCATTTTTGGGGGGTTAATTCTGCTCCCCGTCCGTTTTTCAGCTCTGGGCACTGGGTGCCCTGAGGATAACTGATCTGACTATTAGAGAGTGAGGCAGAGAAGGCGTTAAGTACTTCAGCCTTTTCCTCACCCTTGGTAGCAATATGCCCCTCTATCAAATAAAGCATGGAGATTCTCCTTGTCTCTCTTCTTGTTGGTAATATATTTATAAAAACTTTTTTTTTATAATGACTTGGTTGTTGCAGTGTAAAGGATTTCCTCAGCTCTTAGGTTACTTCAATCTTTTAATTGCAACAAATGACCTATTGTCTTGTAAAGGAAGATTGAAAAGTTTTTTTTCAGTTTAGTTAATATTATACAGAATTTCTCATTAAAAGATGATTGATTACAGGGATTTTGTCTCTGCTGTGTTAGGTGAGATGAGTTTAGTTAAGAGGCCATCTGTCTTCCTTCTTCTGTTAGCTTAGTATGAAATAAAATGCTGAGGTAATTAAAACTATTCATAGGTAATAGATATTTGCAACAGTGATGTCTATGTTTGGAGGATTTTTTCCTATCAGGAGCCATGCAATGACTTATTTAATTGTATTTAAAAGAGCATGGGTGTGTATACCACAAATCTTTTGTTCAGTTCATAGGAGCTTTACTTTTTAAAATTTGGCAGATTACAAGGAAATGATGATACTTTATTTCTTACAAAAATAGTCAATTCCATTATTTTTTTTCTAACAAAGGAATTGTTGTCATTTTGAATATGTAACTTTTAACCTTAATTTTGGTTGGTAGAAAGAAATTGAAAGAAAACACAGTGAAATACAAGATCTTGAAGAAACAGTAACAAGGCTTAAATCTGTAAGTAAAAATACTTCCAGGTCTTGTTTGTAACATTTTTACCATACTGTCATCCAAATGATTCTTCCAATTCTTGTAAAAAAAAAAAACAATTTAAGAATTGACGAGAACTTTTATAGTACCCCAAAATTCTGTTATGATAAGTTACTGATCAATAAATGAAAGCTCTAGAGAATCTACATCGTATTGTTGAAAAAATAAACCAAAAGGAACTTCTGGTGACAGTATGGTTGACTATGTCCTTATTGTACATTTCCTTATTTCTGTTATCTGAAGTTCTAATTTCCATGGCATAATACTTTGTACCACATGAGTTGTGATATCCTAGAGGATTTTCTTCATTCAGAAATTACTTTGTCTCATAATCAGCATGTGAATAATTATGCAATACTTGGCTCAGAAACAAAGCCTAGTAGTCCAGATGAAAAATATCAGTCTTGCCAATTCCTTGAAGACTAAACTCTTTTCAGCATATACCAAGTTGTGTATTATTCGAGTAGAGTGTTTTACTTTTGTTTTTTCTAGTGAACTTGGAAATACAAAAAAAATTTCATTTTCAGGACACCAGATTCTAAGAGAAACATGCCAAATAGCATTTGATTAGGTGCACGATTGAGTTGACTGAGATGCCGAGTTGTGATGTGCTTTAACACCAACAGTGTTACTAAATGGCAGTAAATGATTTCTTGCTTTAGTTATTACTTTTTTTGCCATATTTATATTTCACTATCCTGATCAGTTTCTTGAATTAAACAAGTGTTAAACTTACTGAGTGCAAATTGTGTCAAAAGTAGTGCTTACTTTGATGTAATAAGAAGTAGTAGAATCCCAATGATGGCCTTTAATCAATGTCAAAGCATAAAATATCCAGGTTAAACAGAAGTAAACAGTGTTGAGTATTAAAAATTTAACAAAATGTTAAAAGATTTTTTTCAAATGCGACTATTGGCAATTCTTATTTCTGGAATAATATCTGTTGTTTCAGGAGTTGTCCTCATGTCGCAGGGAGAACGAGAGATTGAGCAACGAACTCTTTGGAAAAGCAAATGATAAAGAGAATCTTGAACTGTTGTTAAACCAGCTTGAACAAGAGAAACAAAGGCTAGCAGAAAAAACAGAGAACTTAGAAATAAAAGGTAAATCATCACATGTAGATTCCTGTAAATTATCTTCCTGTAGCTTTTGAAAAAGTAAACCTTACCTAGTTAACATACAGTTAGTCATACTAAATTGAAAGAAGACTGGAGATCTTCAGTCAGATTTGAAGTGAAATGTTTTTGTTCTGAATATGTTTTTGTTCTGAGTGTGAGAACTGAAAGTAGAGCTTTTCACTGTGATCCCACAGGACAGCCTAATACTATGGCAGTTTCATAGAGAAGAAATTCTTTTGCCTGAACCTATTCTTATTTTCTGTCTGTCTGTGTGACTGACTTTGTTTCTTGATCACTTTATCCAGTTGGATCTTCAAAACCTCCAGGGCTGGAGCTTCCACAACATCTTTAAGCAACCCATTCCGATGCTGGTTTATCTTCAGAGTATTTTTTTTTCCCCTGTTATTTGTAATTGCCTGCAGTAGTTAATCACATTGTTGCTTGTTTACCTGCTGTGTACTTCTCTGAAGAAAGTGGCTCCATGTTATCTGTAACCCCCTCCTGGGACTGTCAGTCTGCTCTTCCAGCTGCTTCTTCAGGCTGAACAAGCCCAATTCCCTCAGAAACTCCCTACAGGGCAAGTATTCTGATCCCTGACCAGCTTGGAGGCCTCCCGGAGACTCACTCAAGCTTAAGAACATTTTTCTTGTGCTAGGGAGGGCACAAAACAGAACAAAGTATTGTAAATGTGATCTAATGAGTGCTAAGTAAAGGGGAGTAATTACATCCCTGAAGCTGTGTTGCTGTTGGGCTTCTCTCTGTTCCAAAGTATGCTGCTCCTTTGGGGTGGGCCTGCTGTCAGCCAGGGCTTCTACCTCCTTTTCGGCAGATTACAGCCCAGACAGTTGCTGCAAGTTAGTCCATCCCAAATGCAAACGTCTTTGTGGAAATTCATGAGGTTCCTATACAGTTGTTTTTCTTTCTTTTTCTGCAGAACGAGAACTTGTCCTAGAAATAGAAAGAATGAGATTAGAATATGGTATAGCTTTAGGAGACAAATCTCCATCTCGTCTAGATGCTTTTGTAAAGACTTTAGAAGATGACAGAGATTACTATAAGCGAGAACTAGAGTATCTTCAGAAAATGGTAAAACGAAGACCTAGCCCAAGCCGTAGGAATCCAGAGAAGGTAAAGTTTCTCCTGTCAAGACAAGCTGAAAAAGTCATGCAATACTGTAGAACCGTTTAAAGAGCTATCATATGTATTTTCAAATTCAGTAGCAGTAAAGAACTGTAGTAATTTTTTTAATTACATTCTTAACATAAAAAATTAACTGACAGAAACTCCAGTGAACTTGCACTTTATTTTCCTATTCATGTTTTACAGGAACATATTGATTAATTATTGATCAGTTTTTGTGAAGTAAATAGAACTAGATGATACACAGAAAAAGGTTGAAATCTTATTGTTAGGTGGTTTTACTTTTTCTCCTTAACAGCTAGTTCTTATGGTTTAAATTATACTCCCAATTGCAATTAGTATTTTCTATGTATTTATTTTTCATGTATTACTAATATTGTAAATTCTTAATTTTTTGTATTAATTTTTCAAATATTTTAATTAGTATATTTTCACATCAATTTAATTAATCACTTTGCAGAATGAAGATCTTGGACTGCTCACCAGAGAAAGAGATGAGCTACGGTCCATGTTAGACAGATTTGAAAAACACATGATAGAAATTCAATCCAATGTCAAGTTACTCACTTCAGAAAGAGATAGATTAAATGTTCTTTATGAGCAGGTAAGAAGAGATTGTTTATAATTGGCATTGAAGTAACTGATCAACACTTGTTGTACTGTTTCTATTTAGAATGAGAAAGCTTCTCTCTGGAATGGAACTTGAATATAGGCCTACTGTGATACATCCAAGAGTAATAAAATATTTACTTGTTTTTATTACTTGTTAATAAAATTATGTATTCCAAAGTTAGTGTATTAACTTCAAAGCCATTGAAACCTACTGTACCGGCATTTGGAAATAAGAAAGATTGGGGAAAAATAGTCATCAGAATGCATGAGAATATGCAAGTTATAAAGCAAGGAATAAGCAGTAGTTAACTGAGTAGAAAACAGAATGAGTTTGGCTTGGAACTGTAAAAGGGTGATGAGTATGTTGACATCATGAGTTGTCATGCCACTGCATGATTTAGGGAATATATTTTAGTTATCTAGGGAAAAGTAAGACTATAATAACACTTCTATTGTAATAATAGCATTGAAACTTTATTTTTTGTTAATCTAGACACTGTATTAATTGCAATCCACGTATGCTAAGAAATGATGGTCTTCTTTTAAAGTCTCAGGATGAATTGAATAGGATGAGAAGAGAAGCAAAACATAATTTAGTTTCTCAAAGTCATGTGGAAGAAGAAAGAGACATTGCATTGACTGACTTTAGAAGATTAATGGCAGAGAAAGAAAGCCTCAGAGAAAAATTAAAGGTGAGCTTTTATAGCTTCATTGCTTATGGTGAGGTAGCCTATAGGGAAGGCTTCTACAGTAATGCGGTGTTTGTGTCTGGCTGGCTGTCAGTTCCCATCTTCAGTAGCTTTGGAACTTCTGATTTCAAACTCACTTTAGAGACCTGGGTGAATTATCTGAATTAACCTTGTAAACTCAGTTCCTAGGTGGGCATACAGGGAGAGGAGCATTCTTTAGATGTCTGAGGGCAAACAGAATCATAGAATGGCCTAAGCTGGAAGGGACCTTAGAGATGGCATCCCCTTGTGTGAAGAACCTAGATATGAAGCCCCAACCACAGAATATTTTTGTGTGTATGTGCTACTTTGAAGATGCTTGTGTGTCACATAGTTCTTATCCCACAAACTGGGGATTTTATGGACTTGTTGGACTTTTTCATCTTTAGTTATTGCTTCATTTTTTGTAGCAGAGTATATTTTAAGTGGTGTAGAACTGAACCATCAAACATAAATTTGTAGCAAACCAAGTTGTGGTATCTTTAACCTTTAAAATAGGAAAATTACGGCATTAATAAATACTATTACTCTGACCTTTTGATGACTGGTATTAATGTGCATTAATGCCTTATTGGGTTGTAGTCAAGAGCAAGGGGTGTTCCCTGACTTCTTTATTGGGTCATTAATATAATGTGTATAGATTTCTAAAAAGTGCTGAAAATGTTCAGAACTTAAACATTGTATTAATGAGCTGATCCAAAGACAGCATTTGTCAATGTTGACTTTACAGTGGAAGCTTCTAGAATGATTTAAATGACAGGTCTCTATTTTTGTGGTAGAATCTGGATGCAGAGGTGATAACTGATCTCTTTGCTTAAAGTATGTGCATGCAGTGGAAGAAGCGTGCTGCCAGCTCTATTCTTTCTTTTTGTCGGTGACTCCCAGCATTTTGTATATGTGCTACTTTGAGATATCTGCACAAAGCCACTTATCTCATGCATTTCTGGGAAGTTTGAGAGTTTGTTTAATAATTTCACTGCACTTACACACAGACGTCAAGGAACAGACAAATTATTTTAAAAAAAATAAAGACCAGTTGACTTTGTTATCCGTTTTACATTTCACATTAATTATGATTTTATGAATTAATTTCAAACAGCTTAGGACTCAAAGGTATACATGGTTGCAGCCTTTCTTGGGGCCTTGTAGCTCAGTAGTCTTTCTACAAAAACTCACAAGTATTAATTTGGTTTGAACCAAATGCAAATATAATTCTTCTTCTTCAAAAACAACCCAAAACCTCAAACAACAACCAAAGTCCAAAACCAGAGTGGTATTATATTGAGTTGTGGTGGTATATTTGCAGCTAATGCTCTGTAGTTTGATAGAGTTTTGCATTTGATCATTCATCTAAGAATGTAGAGGAATGTTTTCTTACACATTAAGCTTAAATTTTTGTGGTCAAATCTGAAAATGTGTATGTTATAAATTGAGGGAATAAAACCCAGGAGCCAATTTAGAATTTAAGTGATTAATAAAATTTATTAAATTTAGCAAGCGGCTGAGTAAGCAAAACAGCGCTGGGCAGCGGGGAGCAGCTCTCACCAGGAGTGCTCATACCACAGCTGCACCCGTGCACAGGCAGATACCTTGGTTATATGCAAAGAAGGTTACATATTCATTAGATGCTGGTCAGCTGCTCCTCCTCTTGACACCTGCGCAGTGCCTCCTGGTGGTCTTGGGCAGGGGTCTTCAGGTACGAAGGCCGTAGGTCTTCCTCACGATGAACTTTTACCTTGGTTCAAAAACTAGTTGCTTTCAGCACATTTTGTAAGATATCTTTGTCCTCGAATTCCACAGGGGCCTTTCATCACCAGATGGTCCTTTATCACTAGGTTCTTGTCAATTATTTTTTGTTTTTATATACTCTTACAGTGAGTCCATCCTGCTAGTCTTTGTTCTTTTGCAGCTGGTGTTAGATAGCTCCCCCTGTGTACAAGCCTGACCTTGGTGCTGGGAAAGATTATATTTGCTTAACAGGATATTGTAGCCTAAACAACTTCATTTCTAGCACAGCATAAAATTTGATGAACAAATTCTATATGCCTTCTATAACAGTGTATCTTATTACATTTAATTCTGCTTCTGTCTCAGATTCAACAAGAAGCAGCTAACCTTGAAAAATCCAAAATGCAGCATGATATTTCAGAACTGGAGAAGAATATTCAAGGAGTAAGTGCATTTTTAGAAAGTGAGCTTTTATTCTAAAATAGGGTAGACTTTTCAAGAAATTTTGTTAGTTGTTTTCAACTTAAATGTATTTAAAAGCCAAGTTGTGACATCTTTCTACAACAATGACCTCGTTTTGGTTTTTTAAAATTTTTTAATTGCAGTTTGAGATGGAAAGGTGTGAACTAAAGACTACAGTCTCTATCCTGAAAGAGAGAATAAACTCTTTGGAAAATGAATTAAAATTGAAGTCCAGTAAACTTGCCCAGGCATCTGATGATTCTTCTCAATTTAAAGCTGAGATGTGCTCACTTCAGTAAGTCTAATTCAAAATGTGGTGATCTTTAACAGTTGCTAATGTAATGTTCTTTGTTCTGTGATTGTGCAGCAGGGTGGAGTTCCTGGGAAAGACCATAAAATATTTTTAAAATCACTTAGTACTGTTTTTGTCTTGAGGAAAAGTAAATACGCGTAAGGAAAGTGCTGTGGTGCCTTTTTGCAGCAAGCTCCTCCTGAACTTACTTGATGACCAAATATACTGTTGATTTCTATGGCTAATTGTGAATGAAAAATTTTTTTTTTCTTCCTGTTACAGTTGTTTCCTCTAACCACCATGTTCTCTGCTTATGCATGTTGCAGAACGGAATTTTAAAAGGATTTCCAAATGCTGTTTGTTAGGAGAAAGACAGGTTCCTTTGCAAGCTACAGCAGTAGGACCAAATTGTGCCATTTTTACAGAGCTGTCAGTAACATTGAAAATTTTGTGCCAAGCATCAGGCCTTGATATTCCACTATTTAGTGGTTCCTGGAGAGTCAGTCTGTAACAGCATTTTACTTGAGCTGATTTTCTTGTGTCACTCTTTTTCATTTCACACACCTACTACTGTTTTGAGGTTTCATATCTTATGATCCGTGGACACAGTCTATGGGGATTTGACCAACTTGCACAAAACTGGAGGCTCAAGTATACCCATGTATTTTTAAGGCATATTTAGACTTGCAGGATTATTGCTGCACTCTTCTTTTTCTTTTCTCTTTTTTTTTTTAAAAAAAAGACAACCAAAACCAAACCTGTTTTAGAAAAGAGCTCCCATCACCTATCGAAATGTGATGGAACAAGAAGGTGACTTAGGGAAAGTGGAAGTAGAATCTGGACAGAAATGTGGAAATTGGTTGAGGCAGAAATGAGACCCTTTGATGTAGGAGATCACTACAGGATGGGAAATGCTGTAGGTGAGATCTTTTGGATGTTTTACAAGGGAAAGCAGGGTCTGTGACTCACACCCTGTACCACCTCCCTGCTCTGACCAGGACTCTACTGCCCAAGGCAACAGTATGATAGCAGGGTGAATATCTGTGAAGAACTAGAGCTGAGAAGCAGGCCTTGGAGTTGATCTCATGCTTCCAGTTGTACGTTAACGAAACAATTACTGTTGTCTCAACGTTACCAACAAATACATTCATGAAAGTGAAATATCTTGTTTAGGTTCCTTATAATTTTCGTGGAAAGCATTGGTATTGTGAAAGAGAGGAGATAAGGAGTAGGGCTACAGTCATTTCAGCTATTGGTTCTACTTTGTGCATGGTGGCAATTTGTTCTAGCTGTGTTTGGGATGGCCCCTTTTATTTCCTCATCTCTAAAGTTTCACTATAAACTGAGTGAGAGGAATTCTTATCTGCAGACATGATGCATTCCACATTGGTGTTGGTGGTTTTTTTTTTTAAAATTAAAAGCTTCTTTAGCTTTTGTGGATTCCCACTTCAGAGGGATTTGTACTTCCTGACTTGTTTTGTAAATAATCCATTTGATTAATTTGGAGCGTTTTTTTCCCACGATCACTGGTATTTCTTGCTACGCGTAAAGGACTCTGTAGGTAGATGGTTTCATCTGTTTTTCACGCTCTTTCTTAAAAGTATAAACAGAACCGTAACTGTGAGTTTGGTTCCATCTTAAAATGTGGTGTGGCTGATAATCACTGCTATGAGCTCCAGCTCTGTATCTTCATAAAGCAAAGAGTCAAAAGACACAAGTAACGAGTTATATGGTGAAGAATAGCAGAAATCAGAGGAAGCGCATGTTTCAGATTATCGAGGTGGTTCCACTGAGGTTTCATGTCTCCATTTTGGAATGGTGTTAAGGTTGACTTGCTCCAGGAGTCCAGAGCAGCCAGGTAATGTTGCCTCAGCCACCTGAAGTAGTCCTCTCCCTCTCTCCTAGAGAGGGAGGGAGCAGACTGCTTAGTATGACACAACCCAGTGCTACTGGTTGGTAGGACAAAATCCCACCATGAGGTTAAGCTGGAACTATTCCAGCATTTCAAGCAGCTTAAGAGCTGCAAGTTGATGACCCTGAATAGGTCCCAAACTTCTTCCAACTGTGCACTGATTTTTCCAGACTCTTAAATGACCAGCTCCAGAGGTCTGTTGAAGATTTACAGCACCGACTGTCACTCAAAAAAGATGAATTGCAGTCAGCTCAACAAGAAATTGTAAAGCTAGAGGAGAAAATAGGTAAACACTAATTATTTTTATGCTTATATACTTTTTATATATTTTTTTTAAATAGAATGTAATTATTCTTTTATTTATAGATAGGTTAAACCAGAGGAGCACTTCACAGGATGAAGCCGTCAATGTCCTTAGAAGTACTATTACTATCTTGGACAAAGAAAAGGACAGCCTTCAAGAAACTGTAGATGAAAAAACAGAAAGAATTGCATGCTTAGACGACAACTTAGCTAACAAGGTATGTGCAGAAAAAGTACTAGTTTACAGTCTACCTGGGGATTTTAAAAGCAGTTATTTTCTAGGAAGGCATTTTGCCTTGATGACAAAGCATGTGCAGAGCCCTAGGCATCACATAAGCACTATGTTTGGATGTAGCCAATACAAAGAGTTGTTTTGCTAGCTCAGTATCATTGCAATTGTGATTGTTAGTGTCTTCCCTAAACATTTCAAGAAAATAAAGAAGTATTTTTTGCATTTTGCACGTGGAGATACTTATTGCGATAAAAGGTTTTAGCTTGAGGTGACAGAATCCATATCTGACTTCCATGGATTTTGGTGCCAAAATAATCCATTCTCAGTAAAGAATCTTGGAAATTTGGAAGTGTAAAGATGCCCTTACTTAGCTGTAAAGGATTAAAATAATGTTTTCAGTGTTAAGTTCTGTAACTTGAAGTATCCTGTTATGTTGCAAAATAGTAATACCTAATACATCTTTTGGTTTTATTTTCCTAGGAAAAAACAATTACTAATTTACGTCTAACTGTCTCTGAGCTGGAGTCCTCAAGAGAGTAAGTGAAGAATAGGATGCCTGCTTCAGTGATTTTCTTTTATCTAGAGATTTTAAAGGGAAAGCAGATGGCTGTTTTAGGTATTTGGTGAAATGGAGTTAATTCAGCTGAAGAAAGGTAAAGGAATGTAGTGTGTTGAGAAAGATGGATACAAGTTTTGAAGAGATTTTTCTCTGCAGTTATGTTGCAGGTTCTAAGATATTGTTAAGACAGCAATTAACAATTGTTTGTCTGTCTTTATTTTCCTAAACATTTCTTACTTCTCAGCTAAGAAGTAGCTTTTTGGGAATCTAACTACTCCACTAGATATTAGATTGACCCAGATAAAACTCAGAGCTCAACTCTTATTGGTAAGCTAGTTACTCCAGCTTAAGCTAACAGTACAGTCTTAATGAAAATATATTTAGGTAGATTTTAGCTGGCTTAATCTAGTCCGTTAAAATACTAATGCAAAAGTTTACTTTAATTCATGTATATTTATAGTTCTACTTTTTTGTTAATCTCTTTGTTACTCTTTTAATGTCTTTCAAGTGCAAGCTATCTGTCTTCTTCCTTTATGAATTAGAAAATATGCAGTGGCTAAAATACTGTAACTGCTACCAAACAGAAACGGAAGTACCTGGTAATTGCTGTTTGGTAGTAAGATACTACTTTGAAGTTAAAGATTAATTCCATTTTATTTGTGCATGTTGACATTTTAGATCCTTAGCTTATGCCTATGTTTAGACTTAGTTTGTTGGCTTTCAGAAAGAATTTTACCCTTTTTTAAAAAAAAAAAAAATCAGAAAACTTGCATATCCAAAATCCATATCTGACCATTTTCAGCAGTATGTGGTTTAGTATAAGGGACAACTTAAATATGATTTTCACTTGATAGCCAGATGAAGGACATGCTGAGCAACAGAGACCGTGAGATATCTAGCTTACATCGCCAGCTTGATACATCCCACATAGAGCTCGCAGAAACATTAAGAGTAAAGGAAATGGCTCTGAAAGAAAACAGACGATTGCAGGATGATCTAGCTACAATGGCCAGAGAAAACCAGGTATGAAGGCAGCATGTGATACTGAAGTATTAAGCCATTTATGGCTTGCTTTTGTACAGTGGTACAACAAAACTACTATATCCTCATTTTTGATTTGGTTTATTTATTGTCATTTCTTGCACACTGGGATATTAAAAATGACTGGGCAGAAATGGTAAAAGCAATTTATGTACTTAGGTGTAGTCAGTACAGTGCGAGAGGAGTCAACAAGCTTTCAGTTTAGTCACCCTTCCCAGCTTAAAAAAAGAAATCTAAGTAAAATAAATCTAGGACATAATTTATAGCATAAACATTTATGTTATTTGGCTATATCTCTTGACAGTTGCTATTTAATTGGTAAATTAATTGTCACTCTTCCCAATCATTATTGCCCCATCTCTTACTTGGAATTCTCTGGGTCTGGGATCCATGGCTCAGAGAGCCTAAAGTGTGTTCAGTCATGTTAATCCCTCACAGAGTTTGAGGAGTAATGAGTTGATTTTGTGCACCAGGTGGTTACTGCTGACCAAAAGCCTCTCAGCTCCAAGTGCATGCTTTGGATGTCTCTGTACACAGTGTGTGTATGGACAATGTAGAACAAATATGTCCGGTGGTTTATAGGGCAAGTAAAATTTTTATAGGGCTAAGCATTAGAAAGACTACATAGAGAATATGTGACTGTGCCTTCACTCAGGGATAATGAATCTTAAGTCTGGAAAAATCCTAGCTCCCAAACATCTCTATGTTGAATTTTCCAAAGATCAGTAGGTGTCTCATGAGGAAATGGGTGTTATATTCATTGAAACGGGTGTTATATTCATTGTTTTCTGTGATTATTCTTACCAGGAAAAACTCTTTGGTGTATCTAAGGGATATTTCTGAACCCTGCAAATCCCAAAGGGCTTTGACTAAATTATGTAAGAGTAGAACAGAATAAAATCTAGGACATATGTAATTACTTTGATTTACTCTGATTCAGTAACATATAGTGATTAACTTACTCAAATGCACTGTTTTGCCTTTATATAATCTCTTTAGGCTATCAGTTCTGAGCTTGAAGACGCAATACGTGAAAAAGAAGAAATGAAAACCAGGGTTCATAATTATATCACTGAAGTTTCCAGATTTGAGACTCTGATGGCTTCAAAGGTAAAAGTATAAACTGTAGGCAACCATTGATGTTTTCAATAAATCCATCGCTTTAGAATATAACACATTCTCATTAGGATGCAATAAACAAATTTAAAAATATATGATTTGGATTCAGTTCTCCCTGCCTGCCCTATTTCTTTCTCTTCTCTTTATTTCCTTCTTTCCTCTGCAGTGTTTCCAGCTAGTAGTGCATAAAATCTTCTTAGATCTGAAGCACTGATGAGTTCTGGCACATCACAATTTCATTGATTATGTTTCAGTTGGCCATAACACTGAATGACAAACAAATCATGTTTGAAAGTCTTTTTGCTTTCTGAGTTTTGACAAGGCAACTAGTAAAATACCTGGTACAATTCCATGATGGTAGGCAACAAGCAGCTTACATAATTGTTTTTAATTTTTTACACTTTTTAAGAAGAGCAAATTTATACATAATTCTGCAGGAAAGTATAAAAATAACACATTGTAATGTTTTCTCTATGAATGATAAAAATTCAGAGGTTTTGCTGTAGTGACAAAACAGTGCTCTTGTAAAAATGTATTTTATCCTGATACTTGGATTCAAAAGTGTGATGTATGCAAATTAAAACTTGGAATAATTTAAAACAAATAGAATTTCTGTCAAGACAACATGAACTGGCAAATTTATTATGTGACTTTGAATAGGAAAGAATGAATTTTGATGTGACTTTGACTTGCAAATACAATGAATAGATGTGGATTCAATCCTTTTTTACAAGTAGAAACTGAAGCATAAAAAAACCCCTGAAGGTCACTAGTATGTTAGCTTAGAACTCTATTTAAAACACTTGAAGTTTAGTTATTAAGAGTTTTATAATAAATACCATATGTCCAAAGAACTTCAGCTATAGATGTGCCACATCTTTGGCAAATGAGAATCCAGTTATTCCAGTCAGGTACCAAGAAGGTCTAGAATATACAGCCAGTGACCAGCTATGAAAGGTTGGTTTTGGAGGTTTTTCTAGTGTTAGGTCTAGATGTTGCCTGTGTAGACAAGGATTTACTTTTCTGCACAGTGTTCATTTGCTTAATCCTCAGTTTCTGTTTCCTAGTGCCCCACCTGTTTCTGTCTTCACCTTCCAAGTTCTGCAAGAAGCACAGAAGGAATTTGAAAAACGATAGTTTTCCTTGTTAGATAAGTCTTGATTTATACTAGCAACATGCTTATCTCACTGCATTTTTTGAAAAGATGAAGAAGAGAATGGAGCTAAATAAAAAAAGTAATCACTGCCTTATAATAAACACTTGCAGTTGGGCCAAATTAAAATTCACAAGCAACGTTTGTCCAATCATTGCATCACTTGTAAGTGCTAAAGCTTGCAGTTTTGTACTTTTATGCTTAGGTGTATTTGCCTGCTTAGGTGTATTTTCCTGCTTAGGTGTATTTGCCTGCTTAGGTTATCAGTCTTTCAGACACCGCTGTAATATAAATGTTTGTAAGAGTGCAGTAAGTAAAAGAGCTGAAAATTGACTTCTTGAAAAGGGCAGCGCTAGGATCAGTACACCTCAGTCACGTGACCCCTGACAGTGCAGAGAGATCCAAAATAACCCCTCCTGCAGGAGCCTTGAAACTCGTTAACAATTCCTAAATGTGAATACTTCCTTTTAATAAAACTGAATGCTATCACTGCGTTTACTTTGTATTTGGAATTGCAAAAGGCATGGCGTCCTTTAGTAGTTGCTAGACAGTGGGATTAATAAAAAGGAAAAAGGGCTCATTTCTTCTGAAAAAAACACAAAGATCTTGTGGGGAGTAGGCATGAAAGAAGATCATGAAACTTGAAGTTATGTTGATCACTGCAGAGTGATTTACTGTTTCATCTAGGAAAAAGAAAACCAAGAATTGTTAGAGAAGTTCCGAATGCTTCACACGCAAGCCGAGGACTGGGAAATGAAGGCTCATGAAGCTGAAGGAGAAAGCAGCTCAATACGACTTGAACTTCTTTCTGTGGATACAGATCGGAGGCATCTTCGAGAGAGAGTGGAACTTCTGGAAAAAGAGGTTCAAGGGGTAATAACCTGAGCAATGACCTTCTGTGAAGGAAAGTGGGATACATTCAAGTGTTTTTTACTGAAGTTAATATGCTCTTCTTAATGCTTTAATGGAAAATCCATCCTAGATGTGACTGTTTCAAGTGTAGACACTGAGTTTTGGAACAGTAACTTTGGTTAGATGTACTTTCCTTCCCCCTTCCCTGCTTTCACAAACTTAAAATCACAGTGTATATTTTAATACTTTTAGAGCTCTTCTGTTTGTTGGGTGATCGTTGCCATTAAGTTATTGTCTCTAAGAACGTTTTCTTTAGTTCCTTCGTAATATTTCCCTGTGGCTTTGTGAGTATTTTGTCAGCTTAGTTCTTAGATTTATTTGAAGCTTTGAATGAGGTATTTGATGCGTTAGTTGCTGGAGTAAAGGTAAAAACATGGTAGTAGTAGTCCAAATCCACAACTAGGATTCCACAATACCAAAACCTAGACCAACAGCATAGAAAGTAATGAGGCTTCTATTCTAGAAGGAATAACTTCATGGCAATGAAGGAAGCTTTAAAGTATAATAGTTGTGGGTTGACCTCATTTTGTCTCATGCTTTTAATTAGCCAGAAAGAGTTGGATACTTTAATGTTGTCAGCTGAGTAAAAAAATAGATAGTATTTGGGAGGTTTTAAGCCTAGAGTTCTCTTCTGAAGCTGGAATTCAGCCTCATTCCACTCTTGTGTAGTACTTGTATAATTCTTCAAGATGGTCATTCAAAAACTGCACAGATGGTTTATTAATTGTTCTTAGCTGTGATTTAGGGAGTGGGAAGGAATGTAATATAATTTCATAGGGAAAGTTAATTTTGAAAGGAAAAGAAAGTATTAAAATAACCCTCGTTGTTCAACAGAAAACTGTTAACATTAAACATTGATTCTATGATTCTGTGATTGAAGGAGTATCCATATTTCTTTGTCTTTGTTTAGCATATTGTTGCACATCAAGCATATGAATCTCAGATCTCCTCCATTACAAAAAATATGTCCAGGTTGGAGGAGGATGTTAAGCGTGAAAATCAGGCTAAGTCTTCTGTGATGGCAGACCTGGCTTCCGTGAGGGAACTCTGTGTGAAACTCGAGTCTAGCAAAGAACTTCTAGCTCGACAGCTGACATCCAAAAGCATGGATTATGAAAGGGTAAGCAGCAAAGGCAAATGTAATTTGCTATAGTATATCTCGTCCTTTAATGGGTTTTGGAAAACAGAATAAATTACTTCTGAGAGCAAGGTAATTTGCTTTATACCACTAGTTTTGCATTTATAGATTAATTACAAATTTTGCAGCATACAGATCTATATCTGTTGATTTTGTACAAAAAGAGGGAGTTTCTTTCATTCACTATGCCTATGTGGCAGCAGTAGTTTTTTGCCGTACCATAGAGACAAATTATATTTATTTGGTTTTATGTACTGTTTTTTAATTTACTCAAAAATTCCGCTTTTATATAAATGAATGGTTCCTTCTAAGGGGGCCAGTTAGCTCAGTTGATTGGAGCGTGGTGCTGATAAAACCAAGGTCGTGGGTTCCATTCCCATTCGGTCCCCATGTGTTGCCTGATCAAGTTGAGAGGCGTCCCTCCCTATGACAGGGAGGTTGGATTAAATGATCTCTAAGGTCCCTTCCAGCCTAGGCCATTCTGTGATTCTTGATTTAGGTATTAAAGACTTTTCCCTAACTGATTTTTTTCCATTAGATTGAAATTTAGATTCAATTGGAGTTCATTAGTTAATTTGAAATAGTTTAAACAGTTCTAAATATCCATGATTTCTGAACTTTTTTTTCTTTACAGATGATTGTTGTGTCTTTACTTAGTGACTTGCTCAGGCTTTCTGTTACTGTCATATTCAAGACCTTTAGAACAGTAGTTCTCATCCCCACAGGATGTGTTTTCATTCATAGAACTGATGAGGAAAACGAGCATTCCTACACAGCAAAAGCCAAGAAGCTAACTGTGAGATAAGCTGGTTAAAAAAAAGGGGGTCTAATAAATACTATTTTTTTTCTAACTGTGAAAAGCCTGCTGCTGTTAAAAGCCAGTTAGCATTCCAGGTACTGACCTAAACATTTCCAGCACTCAGTCATGTAGCTCCCAGTAAAACATTTAAAAGATGTGCAGCTTGAATAGTTTTAACTAAGTATGGTTTTAAATAATTGTAGGCTTTGTTTTGTTTAGTGAGCTTATCAATATCGGATAGAATCAAGACATGCAAAATTGCATATTTTGTGTGGAAATGGAGAAATAAGAGATAGGAACAGATCCTTATAATCTTTTATGGATACAATTTAAGAGAAGAATCAATGTGTTGCCTGATCTAGTTGAGAAGCGTCCCTGCCCGTGACAGGGAGGTTGGATTAAATGTTCTCTAAGGTCTGGGTCATTCTATGATTCTACGATCTGAAATAGAGAAATACTGAACAGGAGCACTACACAGGAAAACTAAGTAAAAGAACAGTATATTTGTCCATTTGTCCAGACAGTGCAATGTAGCAAAATGTTTTATAGTTTTAACAAACTGATACATAATTCCATGTTAACAACCATTCTAATAAAAAAAAATTGCACTTATCTTTCTTTGTAATGAGGATCTAAGGGACACAAAAACATTAGGAAAAACTTTTTCACTATGAGGGTGACGGCGCACCGGAACAGGCTGCCCGGAGAGGTTGTGGAGTCTCCTTCTCTGGAGGTTTTCAAAACACACCTGGACATGTTCCTGTGTGACCTTCTCTAGGTGATCCTGCTCTGGCAGGGGGGTTGGACTAGATGATCTTTCCAGAGTCCCTTCCAACCCCTAACGTTTTATGATTCTATGATTTCCTACTCTTTCCTACTTTTACAAAGCTTTCAATCATTTCTGGTTTTAGAACAACTGTTCATGAAAGAGAATTCTGTGTGTTTGTAAACAAGTGTATTAATAATGCATAAAATTTGTGCCCTAGGTTCTAGGTGAATTAGAAGATATAAAATCAGAAACAGAGTTGCTGAAAAAGCAATTATCCAATGAGAGACTTACAGTTCAGAACCTTGAAACATTGCTGGCTACTAGTAGAGACAAAGAATTTCAGAACCACTTAACATCCCAGGAGAAAGACTCAGAAATTCAATTGTTGAAAGACAAGCTAACGCTCGCTGAGAGCAAACTGTAAGTTTTAACAAGTGTGTGTATGTGTTCTGTGGTTTACAAAGAAGCTTTTCCTGTGTGACAAACACATATTCACAAAGTCGATTTCTTGATGTTCAGTATGCCCAAGCAGACTTTTGCAGCAATGTCTTATGACTTTTCCATGGCATCTTTTACTGAGAGGTTTTTCATTAATCACCACTCTGGTAGATGTCGGTTTTGTAGAAGCAGTAAACTTAAGCAGGAGTGCCAAAGGCAACCTACTTCAGAAAGAAGGAAGACCTTGCTGAGTTTTCAGAGTCTTGAGAATAAGCACTCTGTTTCTTTCTGGATTTGTCCCCAGTCTGACTGCAGAGAGCTTGCTTCCCGTTCTCTGGTGGTGGTGACTCTGTCTCCCATTGGGCAGGCACAGGAGGTGATGAGATCTTTCCTGAAGTTCACTTGTCTGGTAGAGCTCTGCCATCTTTTCAGTGCTATCACTAAAATGCTTTCCTTCCAAGCCTCTTGGTACATTAGTGCCCAATGGCAAGACAGCTGATGTGTTGCAGACATTACTTCCACTACAGATCTAGCCAACCCATGATAATTTGTGAATTTGTTTAGCTGTTGAGTACATCTATAAATGTGTGTATACATTGCAGTATGATTTGGGTGTTTAGCCTTTTGCATCAGTGTATCAATTCTAAAAATACTGCTCTCATAGATTCTGGTCATTTTAACTTTAGGAAGTAATCTAATTGAACTCTGTTTTTTAAGCACAACATCATATTTTTATTTGACTTCGGAGAGTTTAACTATGAGTTTAATTACTAAGAGAAACAAAATTTCTTAGCCTTGAACTATGTTTTATGTTCATATATTTGAGAGTATTCTGAAGCCCTAACTCCTGTAGAACAGTGTGGTTTCATCAAACATCTCAAAGCAAATTGAAAGTAACTTTAGATGTATGTAGTGCTCACAAAAAACTACTAAGCAGATGAAATACATGGTAAAAGTAAATTGCTTACCTACTGAAGATGACCATTGTCCTTCCTTTGATTAAAGGTGAGAATTATTTGTATAATATATAGTGAAGCCATAGTGCTTTGAAAAAGCTAAACTACTTGTGCTGCTCTTAAGATTAACTGTTAAGGAAAAAGTCTCATATCATTGATTGTTCCTTTGAAATACAAATGGAGCTGAACCTGACACCTACACTAAATCTGACCAGCACATTCCATTATAACCAACTGCAGCTTATTACGCTGTGCACCTGCCTGGAATAGATATCTTTTTAATAGTCTTGTTGAAGAATGACTAATCTGTTTGGAACAATGAAGTTAATAGGAAGGAGGAGTAGCAGCTGAATTGTATATGGTGATAAAAGTAAAGTCAAAGTAGAATTTCAGAATTGCTGAATTTCGTTTACATGGGAGGGAAAAAAAGTTAATTGCATACAAAGAACATAAACTGCTGGAACGTCCTGATTATGAAATTAAGTGTAAATGTTACCAAAACAAATAAAAAGGAAAGTAGGTTTTCCTTTAAGCTTCTTTGTGTACAAACATAAAATTCTGTTTAAATAACTTCATAGTAATTTTTTCAGCTTTTCTTCTGCACACATTTTAGGGTCCCTATTTGTTTTAAATATCAGTACTCCTATTGTTAATAGGATGGGATGTTCGAGGAAGAAGGAAAAGATTCTCTTGGAAGAGCAGTGGCTATTCTATTGAATTGTTTTTCTCTGCTTATTTCAAAGGTTCTACATGGTGCTAGGCACATATTCAGATGCAAAACCTAGTTATATATACTTTATTTTCTACTATTTGATTTATAGTAGTTGCAGTCTAAAGAACAGGAACTTGAAATGCTCATAGCTGTGACTGAAGGATCTGCCAATTATGTTTGTCTTATGAAATATAAAAATTCATTTGACAATATATATATTTGAAATATAAAAATTCATTTCAATTCTGACAAAAAGCATGTTTTGATAGTTTTGAATGTTATTTACAGTTTTGTACCTGTGCTTCCACTCTATTTATAAAATGGTACTGATATAACTTCTGACTTCAGAAGGATTCTTAAAATTAAGTTTAACTTGTTAAGTTCTGTGCTGTAATTCTGAGCTCTGTGAAGAGTGCATAGTTGTGTTCCTCAGAGTGCTATTTGCGTGATAGCACAGTAAATGAGATCTTCATGCTCCACAGTGATTAAGTGTTGACTAAACAGAGAATACCGAATAGCTGAATTGCTTGCTGCAAGCTCTGTGTATCTACTGTGAAAGAGGTAGATGACCTGTGAAAAAGCAGTATATCATCATGTAATCTTACTATATAATGGTTACTGTGCATTGGGGTTCAAAATTAAAATATTTCTTAGAGTGATGTACTTGATCTTAATTTTGTTTAAATATCATTGACGTGGAATAACCTCAGAACTCACAAAACTGTTTGCTTTCTTTCTTTATTTTACAATAATGATATTGGGCCCCGAATTCTTACCTCCATCCTGAAAGCATATGCCTGTCTCTGAAGGACTTAGAATAAGATGTCATCGAGACCTCATCTTCATCTCTTCTCAACATACTGGATCAAGATACCATTCTAGGATTTTTACTGATGTGTAGGGGACACAGGAAAATATATTCTGCGGTTCTTTTTGGATCAAATCTCTTGAGTAGTTTACATCTTCCTGGAGTCAGAGACCAGTGGGTGCCAGACAGGAAGCCCATGACTGAGCCAAGAGTGGAACAACTCAATTTTCAGAATTCAAATCCAGTGATTTAGCAATGAACTCTAGTACATCTTTGCTTTTCCAGAAGTGACTTTTGAACATTCCACCTCATATTGGCTTGGAGACTCTACAGAGTAACAGAACTGTCTAGATTCTGGTTTAGACAGCTTATTTTACACTCAATGATTTTTTTGTTGCTTGCTTTATAATGCCGTTAACCATGTTTTGCAACCAAACATTGAGTTGTCCAAGCTGATGATTTGCTAACAAGTTTATTTCATCATGTTACTTAAGGTTTTCAAGGCTGCTTTTCATTTTTGATTCTTGAAGCAGTTGGGCCCAAATACCAAGGGTGTAGTTAACAAGCTCTTGGACTGTTTTTTGCTGGTCTGAGCTTTCACTTAATTTGTTTCATTTGTGTTCGTTGCTAGCCAGATGGTTCCAGCGTACCTGATGTAATGTTTACTGAAGCCATATCGTTATGTTTATAGTTTTTGTGGATATTTACTGTTTTGTTCTTCTTGTTTCAAGTGTACACATAAAGACCATCTCACATTGCAACAGAGGATAGTAAATTAATAAATTAATGTTTTAATTGGTTTGCGTGTTTTTATAAAACATGTTTGTGCTTACCTTTGAAGGAGAACATGATGATGTATTATAGTAAGGATGTAGTGTGAGTCGCTTGCCAGCTTCTCACTTCTTTCTCGCCTTAAGTTCTTCCAGAAATACTGTTGCATCCACTCCATTCTCACTGCCTCTAATTTCTCTTCAGTTTGGTCTGTGTGAAGCAGAATGTTCAGTATCTACTTTTGTTTTATATTGTTCTAATTCATCTAAGTTCCTAGCTGACAGTGTTCAAAGAAAACTTTGTTTCTTCTCATGTTTTGGTTTTTTTTTTTTTTAATAGAAGCAGCTGTAATAGAGAAATTCCCATACTTCGAAGTAAAGTTGCACAGCTGCAGACTGACTGTGATGTTTTAAAAAGGCAACTGACAACTGAACGATATGAACGGTAAGATGCTGGGTGTTTTCAGTGAGGTGACTCTTCTCCTTCTTTTTCATTTCTAAAACTGTTGCTTTTTTCAATAGTGAGGAACTTTTATGGAAAATTGTTTTCCTGTTGTCATGGAAAAATCTAATATTCTCATCTCAAACTGCTTAATTAGAAAAAAAACACCAACGTATGCAGTTTCTTAATTCTCTCGTATGTTTTGTGAGTTGACTATTGCATCTAAAAAAGAAATAAATCCTTTTTCATGAAAACATAGAATGACATTACAAGAAAACAAGGTTCGTTGCTAAGTGCTGTGAAAATCACCAAGTAAAAAGATGAAAAAAACAAAGTTAGGTTTTCTTCCTTTAACACCCTGCACGTAGTACCAAAGTTTTCTGTAACTGAAATTGCTCTCTGTTGGTAGGGAGCGTGCAATTCAGGAAATGCGTCGACACGGCCTCTCTACATCATCATTACGGGCATCGCCTCCTCTCAGTTCAACATTAAGGTCTCCCTCCCATTCTCCAGAACGTAGCGTTGTAAGGACAACTGATCAAGCAGCAGCTGAAAAGTAAGTGATTTGATTTTAGCAGATGGTTTCTGTTTAAAAGTGAGGTTTAAACTATTTCTGAAAAATGCTTTTTTAATTAAATGACATTCTTACACATTTTAGGTGGTTCTAAGTTCTTCTTTTGTTGACTCTCCTACTATAAAGTATTGATTGGAAATAAGAGATACAAAATGCTCTCCAAAGACCATAGAATATAGTGGATTTCTATTCCTTTTTTTTGTTAATGGTCTTGCACCAGCTGACAGCTTCCAAATATGTCACCTTGCTTATTTTTACCATAAATTCTATCCTGATATGTATTGCAATTTTGTTATTATTAATAGTTATGTCCAAACAACGAATGGTTACTATTAAGAGAAATTACATTAAATTCTCAGGTACAGCAATGAAGGAAAAACAATGTATTGCAGAAAGTTCAGCTAAAATGCATTTGAACCCTACATGTTAGATGAAACCATCTCCAAAACAAGCACATAAAAATAATGTTGCCCAGAGAGATGATGGAGGCCCATCCCTGGAGGCCTTCAATATCAGACTTGATGGGGCTCTGAGCAACCTGATCTAGTTAAAGACATCCCTGCTCACTGCAGGGAGGTTGGACTAGTAGGTGACCTTTAAAGGTCCTTTCGAGCCCAACACATTCTATGATTCTATGATTTTTTTAATGGTCAGTACTTGCTGTGAATGTCTAGGTTCATGGTCACTAGAGTCCACAACAAAGAAATCAATATCAACCTCTCACCTGTTCAATTTCACTAACATAATTGTTCTTTTAGGGATCATTATTGTTTTAGATGATGTTTTAGATGTTATGTGTTACAGGTCTGATTATTGAGTTTATATCCTGCCTGTCTTATACTGCATAATAAATTGCAGTGAAGAGTGCAAGGACAGAGAGAGATTAATAGGAGATACATATCCTATAACAGCTCTGCATTGCACTGTAACAGCTTATAAATCGAACTATCAAACTGCTAAACTTGAAAAAACAGAATTCCAGATTGATAATATATTAAACTACCTTTTTTTGTTTTGTTGGTAAATACATATGGCTTGTTCTTAAGGTTACTTGTGTTAACAAAAACACAAGGTTTCCTGAGCATTGAATTCAGCATGACATGAACCATTGTCAGCAATTTTTCTTTTGTGACTTTTTGGACAAAGCAAAAAAAAGGAGACTAGCAAATGAGATATTGATAGTGGGGATGAAACAACAGTTATGACTTGTGCTTTACTGGTGAGCCATTAGGCAAACCCTCTTCCATTGCAAATCAACATTTTGACTGAGAATGACGGATAATATATTTCTGAGCATCGTTGTCATAAGTAGAGAATTGTCTTTAGTTTTCCAGCAAATCCCAGGAGCAATGAAAACAGTCCCATTGCTATACCTGAAGAATCCCATTCAGTGAACTGTTTTCATCTTACTATTTGCATACTTCGTTTTAACAATGACAGCTCAATACTGCATCTTATCAGAAAATATCCCGTTTTCATGAAGTATTGGTTTTTTGAAGAAAGTGGATTTTAACAACTGAATTCATATGTGGTTCAATATTTTTTACTATCTCGCCTTTTAAACCTATCAAAGAAGTACTACATTAGAATGATCTCAGTAGTACTATCACCATGTTTCACTGTACTTATTTATTCCTTCCTGGGAGCTTACAACAGCCACAGCAAAGTGTACTCCGTAATTACTGTTATGTAGTGTTACAACTGTCTCTTTCTCTTAATCTGATTTTCATCTTATCAAGAAATTTTCTCTTATTCCTTGTCTCACATTTATGTTAAGTATTTGAGCAATGAGTCAATGGACTCAGGCTAGAATTTTGGTAATACGCTAATAGTTGACAGGAGTAACAGAAGAGAATATGAGGAGGCTAAATCAAATTACTACTGTTTATCCTAATATTCATGTTAAAGGAGAAGCCTCTGCCCAAGCATTCACACACCATTCAAGGAGCTGCACATCCACCGCCCGAGACTTTTACTGCTGGGGCCGGAGTCCCTTTGCAGTGGGTGGCTCCAGTGAGTTCACGGGTGCCCCTTCCGACTCCTCACACTCTCTTTCCTCAGGCTCAACCCTAGATTTCCTGAAGAAGAATCTCTGACACAATATATGCCAGGTGAATTTACTGAGTGGTGCTGTGGTATAGAACAGCTTGAGCTGAGTGGCTTCAAAGGTGGACTGTGAACAAAGAAATCCCTGGGAAATTATACCCTTACAATCTGAGCTCCACTCACATGGCAGTTCAGTCCAATATTAATATTTGGGTCTCCAGACAAGCTATTCCTTTTCTTATCTCAAGGATGCAGCTTCTGTTGATGGAAGCGGCTACCTTATTTTTCTGGTTTGCACCTGTTTTGGGGCCTTTCTTCATGTAACTTAAGTA